TCTTATATATTTTCCAAAACATTTTTGCTTTAACTATCAATTTTATCACATTACAATTTTGCTCTCTATTTATGTATTTAAATTCTTCTGCTAAGTTTTAGATTTAATTTTGGTTTACACAAAAATCTTCTTAAAGCTAAAGGGGCAATATTAATACTGCATAGAGTCACAATTTATGTAGGTAGGATAAGTTTCTAAACATCCTAACCAAGTAGAAAGACATTCCATTTCTACCTAAGTTGAGCTTAATACTGAGAAAGATGAACCTATCAAAAAAGGGAATACCTTCTACAATGCTATAGGAAATAAATACATAAAAAAATTCACCTCCAAATATAGAAAGTGTAGGGACCAGCAGCTGGAGTAATGGCTATGTTGCTGGACTCCCATGTGGTCGACCATGGTTCGAGTCCTGGACCCAGTGGCTTAAACTCATGTCAGGCACATGTGCATGCGTGCCCAAAATCCCGAAAGGAGAATGGAGAAGGGATTGCAGCATGGCCATCTCCCCTGGGGAGTGATTTCTTGCTTTCTGTCCCTTTGTCTCTCTTTCTGGCAAGTGCATGTGCCCTATAGTAAAAACCTCTTAAAAAAATGTATATAGAAAGTTTGACTAGACCAACTCTTACAGGGATATTGAGAAGTTATCTACCCTTGACAATGCCAGAGAGCCAGCTAAGTATTAATCTCATCTGTAAATAGCAAATAATTTGTGAGTCCTGAAAAAGATGCTAAAGTCAGTAGCATACCAGTAAGACCTTGGGATTAACAATGGTTATTTCTATAGGAGAAGTTCAATAGCAATATACTATACAAACATTTGCTGAAAGGCCTAAATTTAATAAAGTTCAGTGATCATTTTAATAAAGGCTTTATGTAAAAAGGCAAATATTTTTTTAATTGCAATTAAAACTAAGAACTGTATATTTAGTCAACCATCGGGTCCTCAGAAAATTCATGACATTTTTTAAAATGAATGATTTTATTTAACTTTATTTATTGGTGCTATTTTTTAATTTTACGTGAGCGGGATGGAATGTGAGAAAGAAAGCTGCCAGGACTTGAACTGCAGTCAGCCATGTGAGAGTCAAGCACCCTTAACCGTCACACCACTCGATGGCCCCCACGACATACTTTTCTATGCAAAAATGCACCGTGACGTTTCCAATGACCCAATAAGTTATTAGAGTTAGTAATGATTTGCTTTGGTCACTGGATATAAGACAAAGAAATTAATAGTTTATGTTTCTGGGACTAGTGTCATGAAGTGAGTAGAACAGAAAGAAACATTTGTATGACAAAGGTTCAATTCAAAGGTGAGAATAAGTCTCATAAGAAATGCTAGGGAGTTGAGAGACCTTCCTATCCAAGACCAGAAAGCCACTGCAGGAAAACAGGTCCATTTTCCTATATATAAATTGTGACTTTCTATGGCAAAGGTAACGCCAAGTCACTAGTCAATTTATGACACTTGCAAAAAAGTTATAAATGCAAGCGCTTTGTAAACCAATTACTCACGTATAAACATTAACCATCAAAATCCTAGTGACTGGGTAATGATGCCAAGTCTAGCTATAGCCCTGAAAGGCACTGCTTTATTTAGCTCAGCCACTTTCCTCCTGGGCCTCTACCGTACGCAGGAGCAGGTGTCACTGAGGACCCCCCATTCCACAGTGTTTTAGCAGAAAGAACAGATGAAGAAATGACTACTCCTCTCTAACAGGAATAGCTGAACTAAACAAAGTTGGAGCAATTTCCATCAGTGAGCAGATTAGAAACATTTTGGGGAAAGGAGTCAATGATAGAATTTCATTTCTGTAGAATACAGCACATGTGATAGCCAGTTCTCTCAGATAACTATAGCAGACCTATGGAGAATAGTCCCACATGTCTCGAATGTTCTGCAAAGGGTACCTTAGACTTGGGCATTGACAATGAAATTGATGAAATTTAGACACATTCCTATCGCCGCAGCCTCTAAGTCCCAGAACCCTTTGTTCTTACACTGAAGCGGGAGAGAGGTCGGGGACTGAATGTGCCCTGAGAAGTCGAGAGCACCGTGGAGCCTGTTTCTGCTCTAACCAACACCCCCTGCCTTTGCCCACAGGAGAATGCGAGAGAGTGTGGGGGTGCACCGAGTCTCCAGGCCAAGGCGATCCTGATCCTGCTTCCCCTGCTTCTGATGTACTTCTCGAGGTGACACTGACGGAGCTGTTCTCTTGGCATGCTAAATCATGGATAAACTGTGAACCGAAATCTGGTGCGACATAGGGGACCTGACATATAGCCCAGCCATCAGCATCTCATGATTTTAAACTGTGCGTGATATAGACTCGTAAAGATAGGTCGACAAAAACAGTTCCCTTTTTACTTTGCCGGTCATGCCGATGTGAGTTTGCCTCATGATAATCACCCCTCATCAGAAACGGGACTGCAGATGGTAGGCAGTGTCCCTTCTGCTTGAACCCCATTGAAACCAATTTAAAACTGTGTACTTTTTCAATAAAGTATATTAAAATCATAATCTCCTCGTTTGGATTTGATCATCACTTTAGGACTGAGAATCCAGACTCAAAATAAAAACTGCATGGGGGAAAAAGCCACCCATTCCAGAAACCGGTAAAAAGATGGGCACGGGCAGAGCTTTTGTGCTAAAGCAGATTTAACAACTGTTTAGATGCTCCCACTTAGTTATAAAAACATTTACAGATGTAAATCAAAAGACGACATGAGGAGCCCTGAATTTCGTTGAACTAAAACTCCAATAGAAATCATAACTGGATGAGAACACAAGTGCTGGGAACCAGCAGTTAGCGTAATGGCTATGTCGCTGGACTCCCACGTAGTCGACTGCGGTTCGTGTCCCGGACCCGGTGGCTTAAAACTCACGCCGGGCGCGTGTGCGTGCGTGCCCAAGATCCCGAGAGGAGAATGGAGGAGAAGGGATTGCGGCGTGACCATCCCCCCTGGGGGGGTGATTTCTCGCTTTCTGTCTCTAGGTCTCTCTCTGTCTGTCTGGCGAGCGCACGCGCCCTACAGTGAAAATCTCTTCAAAAAAAAAAAAAAAAAAAAACACAAGTGCTCAAAATACTCAAGTGCTGAACTGTTGGGGACTACAAATAAAGAAGCCATAAATTCTAGGAATTTGTTCTGAGACAACTCAAAGGAGGAACAGAACCATGAATATAGATGCCTTGCGAGCTTACTGCTTGAACATTTGGCTTCTAGCTTCCCCCATAAACAAGAGATGAAATTATATATCAACTATTACAAAATGTGAAACGACCCAGACCTACAAGCATTCCTAAAACACTGGATTTTGAACCAAAGAAAACAGATTCCATTGGATCGTGGTTACCAAAGAAAGTAGAATAATTTCCATGCTTAGGTAGAGGAGAGAATGCCTCGCTTTAGAGGGTAGACATCTAAAAGACACCTGGAGGATGCCACTGCAGCTCTGAAGAAGGGCCACATTACCCTGTTGATGTTTTAGAAAAACTCACGTTAATGTACTACCCTACTCTAAAATGATTCCCGTGTGAGCCTGCCCCTAATCCTCTTCTCAAGATAACCTACTATCACGTGCTAACCTGCCAACATTTTCTTTTTGTTTTTCAGAGACTTTTGCTATGGGGCACATGCCCTCACTGGAAAGACAGAGACAGAGACAAAGAGACAGAAAGCAAGACATCATTCCCCCACCAGGAGCATGGCCACAGTACAATTCCTCCTCCATTCTCCTCTCGGGCTTTGGGGCACGCACGCACATGTACCCAACGTGAGTTTCAAGCTGCCAGGTTTGAGACTCGAACCACACTCAGTCACGTGGAAGTCCAGTACCTTAACCACTACGCCAACCTGCTGCCCCTCACCTACCAACATTTTCACAACTGCAGAGCAATAGAATTTGGACCATTGATAATTCATGTCTGTGCTATCTTAATATGGGATTGAAGAGTCATAACAGATGAAGGGGAAATAAGCCTCCAAACCTCCTGCCCACATGAAATCACAAATACACACGCTTCCCATTTTGACGTGCGCCGATAGAGGAGAATTAAACTTAATATGGAGAAAGGTGGACTTGTCACAGATTTAGGTGATTTATAAGAGCAGGTAGAGGAGTTAGGAGAGAAATTTCATCTCATACTGTAATTTTTGACCAAACTAGCATGACATGACTTACCATTCTCAATTATGATTCTAAAGAACTGGCAACAGTAAGTATATTATGTCATAATGCCCATAACTTAAATCAAACGGTGCAAAACATGCATAATAAATATCTGTCGTTTCACCTCCATCATATCCTCCATGGTAGAATAGCATCGATTTTATTTCATTGTGACATAAAGACAGCGTGGTTGACAGCCAGCCAAGTGGCCCAGTAGGTAAGGGAGCCTAAAGATGGGGGGCTGAGTGCAGTCAAGTCTCAGCTTGAAAAATACCCTGGGTGCGTGCGTGGCAGCGCCCCAAATCGTAACAGGATGGAGAGGCAGAAGCACAGGACAGCAGTGTGACCACGCCCCACTGAGGACTGCTTTCTCTCTCTGCCTCTCTCTGTCTCTCACTCTCTCTTCCCATTTTCCTGTTGGGCAGCACACAGGCCTCCTGGTGGTTAACAAAAGCAAAGCAATAAAGGCAGAATTGAGGCACCCTGTGCTTGGGGCATCTTCAGGGATCACAGTGAATGCATGCACGACCCACCAGCACCTGGGACGTGCCATGCCCATGACGGCTCTGAGCAGGCAAACGCGCCCTTCTACTCGGATAACAAAAGTTTTCTCCAACTTGTGTGCTTAGCTCGCGATCCCACCCCACGTCGTCCTTCCCACTACCTCGGTTTCTCACACCCCAGCCTCGCAGCCACTCCTTGGTGTGCTTTCCAACTTCCCACCTTCAGTCTCACGAGCTGTGTCCTCCAAACGCCACGCTGGACACCAACCACCGCTCTGTCCCTCCCAGGTCCAGCCCACGCCGCATCCCTGTTGGTCTCCTCTCCCACTCTCAGCACCCCCACGTCCACACCTGTTCTCTGTACACCAGCCAGAGAAGGTTTTCTGAAAAACACCTCTCACACCCTTGCCCAGTGCAGTGAGCACAACCTATAGACTTTTGCCACGGGCCACAGTGGGGGTTATCAGTCTTCTCTGCAGGAGATCAGGGAGCTATCAGAACTCTGGATGGGCAAAAATGGATTTTTTTTTTTTTCACTAAAGGGTACATGCACACGAAAGAGAAATCTCACCCCCTCCAGGGGCAATGGGCATGCTGCAATCCCTTCTCCTGCGTTCCCCTTCTTGGGATTTTGGGCATGCAAGTAAATACGTGCTGTGTTTTTTAAGCCTCCAGGTCTGGGAATCGAACTGTGTGACCTCATAGGATACAGCTGCCTTCACCACACCACCCGCTGACCCCAGCATTTTAACACACCACCACCCATATGAAGCCAAGTTTGAGGACCACTGGCCTGTGGGCCCTATGGGGTCTCAGCTCTAGCCTTCACCTCCCTTCCTGACCCCACTGTCGCTGCTGTGCCTACACTCTTTGCACTCCACTGGTCTGCCTACTGTCTCCTGAGAATGCTGGCCATGGCTGGGCCTCTGCCTGGAGGCTGCAGACCCGGGTCTTCACACAGCTGCTGCTCCTCACCTTTCAGGCCCTACTTAAATATCCCTTCCTTGGGGACAGCCCCGAAGACTGGTGGTTAAGGGATCTGGATCCCATGAGGCCGACCGTGAGGTTCAGGATTCAAATCCTGGCTCCAATTTGGCTTGAAAAAAAAAAAAAAAAAACCAACAACAGGATGGGGCCAGCAGGTGGCGTGGTGGTTGAGGGTGCTGGATTCCTATATGGCCGACTACGATGTAAGTCCCAGAACTGGCAGCTTGTTTTCTCACTTTCCCTCTCTCTTTCACTTTGTCCTTTTCTGGTCAAATTAAAGATAATAAATAAATATAGAATAATTCTTTTAAAAAAATACAATTGGCAGGGCCAGCAGTTGGCCTGGTGGTGAAGTTGCTGGACTCCCACATGACTGCTGTTTGAGTACTGGACCTGAAGCCTTGCTTTCTTATCCACCCCCCCCGCTCTGTGTGTGTGTCTCTCTGGTGAGTAAGCCTTATAGCAAATTTTAAAAATAATAATAAACAATATTAAATAATTCTTAAACAAACAACAAAATAAACCAGATGTGTGTGTGTTACCAAAATCCTAGCAGGGTAGAAAATGACGAGACTGCAGTATGACCATGCCCCAGAGGGGGCGCGTGCTCCTCCTCTTCTCTCTGTCCTTGGTGAGTGCATGTGCTTTCTGGCAAATGGGTTGTTTTTGTGTGTGTGTGTGTTTTTTTTTTCCCCTCCCTTGGAGCTCCTGAGGAAATGGTTCTTTTTTTTAAAATAATTAATTTTATTTATTTATTTATTTTAATTTGACCAGAGACACACAGAGAAAGAGAGAGAGAGAGAGTAAGAAAGCAAGCCACTAGATCCAGGAATCGAACTCTGGTAGGCCATGTGCCTTAACCACCAACCGGGTCCAGGACTTGAACCACGGTTGACTACATGGGAGTTCAGTGACATAGCCATTACGCTAACTGCTGGTCCCCTCAAACCCTTTTCCTTCATTCTTCTCTCAGGATTTTGGGCATACACACACATGTGCCTGGTGTGATTTTCAAGCTGCCGGGTGCTAGTCCTGGAAATGGTTCTTCTACCCTGGCTTTACTTTCCCTGTCCACCAGCATCTGGAATACCTGCGTTTCACTTTCTCCTCCCATCTTGCAGCACCGTGAGAGCCAGGACTTTCTCTGATCCTGTCTGCTATGTCATTTTCAGATCCTATAATAAACCTAAAACCAGCACCACCACTGACAGACCTACCAGCTCATGTTACTGAGCTCCGACTGCCAGACCTTGCTTAATGACAGATGCATTCAAAGAAATAGATCACGAGGTGGGTTCACTGCTCTGGGAACATCACAGGGTGTGCTTACACAAGCCAAGATGGTACAACCCGCTACATGCACACATTACATGGGATATAGCCTATTATGTTCTCACAGTACCAGGTTCTCACAGTACCAGGCCAGCAGGTGGTGTGGAGGTTAAGATCCTGGACCCCTACATGGCCGACTGCAGCTTGAATCTCAGACCCGGCAGCTTAAAAATCACACCAGGCACATGTGTGTGTATGCCCAAAATCCTGAGAGAAGAATGAAGGAAAAGGGATTGAGGGGACCAGCAGTTAGCGTAATGGCTATGTCGCTGAACTCCCATGTAGTCAACAGTGGTTCAAGTCCCAGACCCGGTGGCTTAAACTCACGCTGGGCACGTGTGTGTGCATGCCCAAGATC